TGGTTTATAGAATTCTGTATGAAAGTGTACACGTTGCACTTTTTAACTACATGACTTTATATATATATTAAAGTGTACACGTTACAATTTTTAACTACATGAATATATGTATACTATATATGTCATGTCAAAAAAGAGGGAAACGTGCTTTGGTTTATAGAATTCTGTATGAAAGTGTACACATGTTCTTTTTGCATTAAGCAAAGCATAGCAATGTCTTCTTATACATGGTTTCACTTAATCATAGGAAATATCCAGTTCAGTGCATAGTGCGGAATGCAGGGCTCTGAATTATCGCAGCATTAAGCAACTAATGTGAGTCTTGCCTGAGAGATAAAGGGGGACAATTCAGTTTCCCAGTGAGTTAAAAAAATACAGAAACACTAAGCACAAAGACCGTGATGGTTCCCAACTAGTATCATTAAGTGAATCCCTAATTAAATGTGAATTTTAATAACTATTTTAATGTATCCTGTCATCATGAGATATATTTACTGCAACATGACTGACTACTTACAGAAAACGCAAATGTGAAAGGTGCTATAGTTCTGTTGCTTCTCGTCTTTGCTTGTTTGTAAATCTGGTAAACTTGCAGCTAAATTGAAACTACACTATTTAACTCTTTAATGATGCTTACATTATCAGCAAACCCCGTTCCCAAGGGCTCGCATTTCCCAATGAAGGAACATATGCATATGTCATCTACACATATGTTGCTAAGTATTAATGTAATGCTGAAGAAAGAAGCAATTGAAATAGGCAAAAATAAATGCTATTATTTCAATTCAATTATATGACAAAATTCACTTCCTGATCCTCCCTACTCATATATTTTGAGAAAATTGGTCATGGTATTAATTCTATCATCCTGTCACTATGTGTTTAAAACACAAGTGCAATTGGTCTGTCTAGATGCCCATTAGCTGGTGAATGGATAATGAAGATGTAGACACACACACACAATAGAATTTTATTTAGTGATATGGAATAAAAATCTTTGAAAATTTCAGGAAAATAGATGCACGTGCAAAATATTGCATTAAGTGAGGCAATGCAGACCTAGCATGGCACATGCTGCACATTCTTTCTTATATGTAGAGCTTAGCCCTCAACACTTATATATGTGTATATGTGGACGTGTGAGAATCAGCTTTGTAAATAAAGAGACCACAGAAGGTAAAAAAAGAGAAGTTGAGGGAAAAGGAGTAAGTAGAACACATGTGACACAAAAATGAAAGGCTCCTGCGGGTGAAAGGTACAGGGTTGGATGAGGGGGATGTGGATGAAGGAGTTTAAGCAATTAAAAAATAAGTTTGAAAAATGCCTTAATGAAGTCTAATAATTTTTAAATTTTATTTATTATTTTATTTTATGTGTATGAGTGTATTGCCTGCATGTGTGTGAGTGCACCTGGGTCTTGCAATGCCGCAGAGGTCAGAAGAGGGTGTCGGATTCCCCTGGAACTGGAGTTACAGATGGTTCGTAAGCAACATGTGGGTGTTGGGAATTGAACCTTGGTCCTCTGCAAGAGCAGTCAGTGCTCTTAACTGCTGAGCCGTCTCTCCTGCCCCGAAGTCTAATAATGTTTATGTGAAAACAAAATCTAAAATAGAAAGAGATACTGAAAAAGTTCTTAAAATTTAAAATTCTTGAAAGGAAATGAGGAGACATATGAGGGTTAAGTCTGTCGTTTATTTTATACCTATACAACACTAGCAATATGCCCTTCTTATGTAGAAACTGAAAAATTGTATAATGTTTACTGGAAGAAAGTCATTCTAGGTAGAAAAAGAAAAGTATTCTTTAAGGATCACTCTTTAAGGATCATTATTTAAGGATCACTCTGATCCTTAAAATCTTGTTGACTCACTCTCGAACTGTTTCCCAAGTGCTGGAGCTGTTGGGTCACATTGTGTACCAAATTATGATGTATTAGAGAAAATGTTGGGACTTTAAAGCACAATAAAAGTCAGTTGTTCTATGATTTGTTAAATTGTTCTATTAATTTAGTGATTTAGCTATTTTAATTAGTTTAACTATATCTTTTTATTAATGAGTCATAAAATATATCCTATATATGCATTATTTATGAATTTAAAATGCACAAGATGTATGGACTTAATTTTGAAATTTTTTCATCTAGAGAGAGAAAAACACTTAGCAGATAATTTAATTAATATGAATCAAGGCGATAAACATAAAAAAACTTTAATCGAATGTTTATTCTTCTTATGCCTAATCTATTCCTAGTTTGGGTACAAAGAGAAGTTAAGTTTCACTCTGCTTTTTACTAATAAATTCAAAATTCTCATACTCAGTTATAGGTTATCTGCTCTAGGTGTTTCTCTTATTTACAAAACATCTACTTTCAAGTTACAAATAAGAATATACAAAAATATGCTCTGGGGAGATGAATCAGTGGGTAAAAGTGCTTACAGCACAAACATGAAGACCCAAGTTCAAAACTCAGAACCCATGAAAAAGGTGAGTTGTAGCATGTGTGTGTGATCCCAGCACTCCTGTGGGGAGGCAGAAGACAGAACAGTGAATCCCTGGCAGCTCCTGGCCTCCTAGCCTGGCTTACACAGCAGAAAAACAATAAAGAGATCATGTTTTATACAAGAGGTTACTCTGACCTCCCTATGCATGCCATGTCACACATATACCCTTGGCACACACATACCCATATTTACATTTGCACATACTAATGTGCACACATGTATTATACAAAAAATACAAGATGCATAAGTACAATTTTATAATAGTTAGAAATGTAGAAAACCACGAGATTATTAGAATTTCTTCAGATATACTGCAAAGAATAAAATTTAAAATTCTTGGTAGAGGATTGCTTTACAAAATCTGCTCCAATAATGCTTCCTGCTTCTTGCCAAAAGAGCCAAACGAAGGCCTTGCTTGCTCATCTGTATTTGGCTTTATTTTATATCAATTGAAAATCAATTTACTAAATAGTTTTTCTATTTACTGGAATAGATGTTTTATCTTGACTTGAATGTGTATTGATTGTGGCTTAATGGCTACCGGTACTTGCATTCTACCAACATAAGGTTACTGCCAGCTCTAGCAACAAATTGAGCATTAGTATGGAAAACAAGAAGATGCAGCATAGGAATTTTAAACATATATCAAATGAGAATGCCCAGTGTTTAAGAGTAATACCTTGGGCTAATTATACACATTATCTCTTTGATATCTAAGACAAAATTATTTGTATCTCACCTATAAAGCCTTTAAATTGGTAGTGTGTAGGACTTAAAGACTAAGAATTTCTTATCTCAGATGCAAATCTGTACCTGTATGTGGACATGTACTTGCAGACACGTATTTGCAGAATTTAACACTTGAATAAACATTAACTTTCGTTCTATATTATGTGGCTGTGTCATACTTACTCTTTCACCTGGAGGACCTGGAGGGCCATCACCACCTGAAGTGCCCTGTCAACAACAACAAAAGAAAGGCATGAAAAGAGGTGAATTATGATTCCTTTTCCCAGCATGACCCTCTGGATTAAGGTGAGATGAGTAAACTCTAATATACCTTTGGCCCGGGTTTCCCTGTGGGACCTCTTGCACCCCTGGAACCTCGAGGACCCTGCATAACAAAACAAAAGAGGAAACTGACCCAATGCCAAGCTAATCCCAAAACATAAATGCATAAAACCAAATCTAAAATGAAAATTGTCGTCTTAAATGATGGTACCCACCGTTGGACCACGCTGACCCCGAGGGCCTGGTTTGCCTGCAACTCCCTGACAAAGACATTGCAGAGTTTCAATATGTAGGAAGAATGTCACAGTAAATGGGTATGAGAAATGGTTACTCATGTAAGGACATAGTCATTAACCAGATCTGGACAATATACTTATGCATCATACCCGAGCACCTTTCTCCCCATTGGCACCTGGAAACCCAGGAAATCCAGTGGAACCCTGAAATTATAAAAATGATAAAGGATGAATAGATTGTTAACATTTGCAAGTCACAGATACATTTCTTTGGGAAAACAGTCATTTTGTCAGAGCTGGTAATATTTAAATATAAAATATATACTTAGTTTGGAGACTTATAAACTAAGCAAAAAAATCTTAATAATATACAGATTTTAAGTTATCACACTAGCTCCCAACATGCATATGAAATTGAACTTACAGTGACAGCACAAATCCTAGAAGCATTGAAAGCATGGATTGATGAAACACAGTTTAGTACTTAAATTTAAAAGAAAAATAATCAAGCATTTATCAGATTTCCTATAATTATATAGCTATTAAAGGATATGATATGTAAAGTACATTTTAGTTTAATAGTCCTTATATTAGCTTCAACTCTACAGAAAATTTCTGTTTTAATCTTGAATTCCCAGTTACTTTATAAAACATTTGTTTTGATTTAATATCACTACATATGTATGAGCATCACTTTTCAACAGAAATTTTTAAAACTGCATTAAACCTTATGTCCTGGAAAGCTTCTTTTACATGTTGTAACTGGTTTTAAATGTGATCATATCTTGCTAACAGCCTAAGTCAGCCTTACAATCCAATGTTTGAAATTCCAAATACAGTGTTTCAGGTCTTTCTCCACCCATGCATCAGCTAAATAAGGCAAGGGCATGACTCGGCCTGATTGAATCTACTTTTTTTCTGTCGCAAAATGAAAGCAATGACATATTAATACCTCCTAACGCCTTGAAGTTTGTGGGAGACTGAAATATTGAAAGATGGAGGTCAACAAATGAGAAATGTGGGGTGTAAAATACTAATAATAGCAAACGATGATTGTTTTAAAATGTAATAGGCCTATACACAGGCTTGCTACAAATGACCATTTTATCAGTGAAATATAATTTTCAATAATAAAATCCTCCCATTTCACCTTGGGCATATGCCCAGATTTTTATATCTCAGATATTTATTTGATCATGATCAAAGCAAGTTTGCATCTTTATTATATAAAGAAATAGAGCAGATAGAGTTTCAAATCCTTATTTCTTAGCTTGCTAAATATGTTCCTAAAAATGGTTTGGAAGGGTACTCCCCCAAACCTACTTTTTCTATGTATAATATTGTATGGATGAGACACAATAATGTGTAAAATATTCAGACAAGAGTAGAAGACTTTCAAATTTCATACATGTATCCATGCCTTAAGTGAGATATGGCAACATTCTTTGACTTCTGTGCCCTTTCCTTTTGTAATCAACTCATTTGCATTGAATTATCCAAAAAACAATGTTTCTCAAGTGATAAATGGTGAATTTATATCAGAGTAAACTTCAGTAATTCTAAAAATATGAATTGCTGATTCACACTCTAGACTTTCTGAAACTGGAACAAAGTCTCACACAGGGGCTTAGAAATCACAGCAGTGGTCTCTGCAGATGGTCATGTTAATGGGGGAGAAACGTTGGACACTGACTATTATGAACAGACAGTAAGAAGATTCATGTGTAGAGCCATCAGGTTGAAGATACCAGTTCTATTACTATTTTAATGAAATAAATATTTCATACTTAAAAGGCAAGCTGGTTGAGAAAATTTTATTCAATGCTCTATGGTAACTCAATAATCTAAGGACTATACAATGTAATTTTTATGATTCCACTTATATATTCTTTATTGACTATACAATTAACTTGTGATTAACGACAACAAATGAAAAACCTGTAATAAAAATGGGAGGAAAAATATCCCTGCAAATTATGTTTGAAAGGATTTTAAAACAACCTTTTTTTTCTCTTCAGAATAAGATATAGTTGCATCTCATGGTTCCTATGTGATTAAGAATTTGACGTCAGTAAACTATAGTAATAAATGACTTGCTTTCATCACATTTTATTTATAAATAAGTACTTGTGTTATGTTTACAATTGATAATCACCATATTTAAAAATACTCTTTCAAATAAATTGTTCCTAGTATTAATTTTGCTTTGATGAATTTATTTTCTTACACAGTATGGGGGAATCCGAAAACATTCAACCCACTAGTTTTCCACTTAGGGTATGATTAACAAAATAGACAATTTATATTTAAGGAAAACATTGGCTTTAAATGGCAAAACAACAAAAGAATAGACAATCAAAGTTAGTGCCTAAATTATGAAAACAAATGTAATTCAAATTATTTTATAAACTTTAGTTATGAAAGTATTCCTCCTTAAAATAGATCTTATGGTTTGAAATAGTTATTAATTTATAGTACATTTGGTGGTTTTTCTTCATGGTTTGTATTGCTACTAAGACATTGAATAAGGAGGAGTGTCTAATTAGAATCCTAAACTGCTTTGAGATTAGCAGCCAAAATTGATTTTTCTTAAAACACATCTATTCAAACTTCCCTGGCATTAATACAGGAAAAAATAAAGCTATTCTTAATCTTTGATGTGCCCATCTTTTATTGCTGTTTGTTTTAAAAATTAGGAGCCAAACTTTTTATCATAAAAGTTATCATAGTTATGAAGAAAAGTGACATTAAACATATATACCTAAAGTACAGACATTATTAAGGGATATAGAAAAATATGACTGTGAAAAGAAACATTGTCCTTTGTCACTTGTTTTATGTTCATAATAAAGAGAATTCAGAGAGCAGAATTCAGAAAATTGATGTTCAAAAACAAGAAAAGATCACAATTGCAAAAAAACATCCTAAATGATCATTGTGCTCATTTAAACAATATTATGACAGTTTTCTATTATTTTAACTCAAAATAAAAAAATGCCACAATTCTTGTGCAACTTACTAAACAATCAAGAATTTACAAAGTAAAATAGAGATTGTTTGTGGTTCTGGATTGTGAAATAAATGGAACTTCTTTGTAATAATACTTGTGAGAACCCCTAACATTGAGATCAAGCAATATATTAAAGACAAGGTAGAAAATATAAAAGACAACTGATCAGGATTTTCAATGTGAGGAACAATTAGATGGTTCTTAAATTATTGAAAATATAGATGACATGACTCTTTAGAAGGCCTCACAGTATATTTACATCCTACTATATAAGAAAATGAATATTTTCTGGAAACTTGAAAACATAATCACATGGCAAGCCTAATGTACGCTTTCTATGACCATGAGTGAAAACAGGTTTGTGTTTGTTGGGATGACAGTTTTGGTGACTATAGGTTATCTGTGATGTTTATTAATACATGTTTGGGGTTGTGGTGTAACTAGAATTTGCTCCATCTTCTAGTTGTTACCCAAATGGGAAATAAATTAATATAGAATTATATTGCCTGAACATATTAAATTGAAAGAATATTCAAATATGGTGGTAACAGGCCTGTAACACTAGCACATGGGGCCTGAAACACCAGGACTGAGCACTGTAGTCTATCAAAGCCTACATAAAATCCTGTTTTCAAAAAACAGAACTACCCCCAAATTTATAACTAATATTGAGATATTAAGTCACTGAGCTAGTACTGAATGCCTTCAGTTGTCAACTTGACACACCTGGGTGGAGGGAACCTCAATTGAGGAATTTCCTTCATTGGAATGGCCTGTGGCCATGTCTGTAGGGAACTTTCTTGACTTTTGAGTGATGTGGGAGAGCCCACCCCACTGTGGGCAGTGCTACCCCTGAGCAGTGATCCTGTGTTCTGTAAGAAAGCAGGCTGAGAAGCACGTCAATGAACAGCACTCCTTCATCATCTGTGCTCAGTCCCTGCCCTGCACTCCTGCCCTTGTTCTCTCCTTCATGAGGAACTGTAAGCTGAAGGTAAAATAAATCCTAGCCTCCTCAAGAATCACACCAATAGAAAGTGACTAAGTCACCTATCTTAATATAACTAGTCAATGCATGAATCATAGCCAATGAAATAGTTGTGTGATAAGGTGAAGAAAAGTAAGTGTGCCAAAATGAACAGAACATCTAAAAGAAACTATATATATAATCTCCCCAAATTCCCAACTAGAATTTGAGCAGTATAGTTGATTACATGTTGCACCACACACATGTACCTATCGTAAATTCTCTAGAATCTGTAATGTCATCTTATTCACTGGAAAAATATCTAATCAAATGCAAATACATTAAGAACTGTGAAAGAATCCTGGATCATCCAGCTGTTTCCTAAATCCAAAGGCAAGTGTCCTTAGGAGACACTTACCAGTAAGAAAAGACCATGTGAACATAGCAAGGATTAAAGTGGTGCGACCATAAGCCAAAGAAGCCTGGATGAAAAGACGAAAACAACATTATCTTGCAGAACCTGCAGAAGGTAGGGCAGATGCTTGCCTAGAACTTTATGAGGGCGGGGGGGGGCGGAGGGGTAGACCTGACAGACAACCTTTCATCTCACACTCTTGCCATCAGAGCTTTTAAATAGAGATTTTTCTATCACTTTAAGTCACCAAGATTGTAGAGTTCTGTTAGGAAACTCTTTGGAAACAAAGATTGGTGGAAATGAGGGTCAAAGGAAGAGGAAAATATATATTTGCCTCTTAAAAAATAGAATAGAATAGATGGGGCTGGAGAGATGCCTCAGCAGTTAAGAACACTGGTTGTTCTTGCAGAAGACCCAGGTTCAAATCCCAGCAGCCACATGGCAGCTAACAACTGTCTGTAACTCCAGTTCCAGGGGATCCGATAGCCTCTTCTGTACTCCACGGGCATTGCACGACATGGGTGCACTTACCTACATGCAGGCAATACACGCATACACATAAAAGAAAAATAATAAATAGAATATTTTAAAAAATAGAATAGAGCTCAGTGAGGTGGCACAGTGGATAAGAACATTTGCCTACCGTGTCAAATGACTTGAGTCTGATCACCCACTAGAATACCCATGGTGGAAAGAGAGAACTGTATCCCATAAAGTATTTTGAACTCCCCCCTGAGGACCCTTGTACACATCACACACAGACACACAGACAGACACACACACACACACACACACACACACACACATTTACACCCAAATAAATTGTAATATTTTAAAAATGGAATAGTAATTCAAATCCTTAGAGTAAGAGAAATAAAATGCTATTTTGGTCCACATAACATCTACTTTATAACTAAATATTTTTAATTTTTCTTCCCTGGAATGTCCTTATTCCAATAATACCAAAGTTTTGAACTATGCTGTCCTTTCAGGATGACCCTGTTTTCAGAAATCTTCCACTCCACGATCACAGGATCTCTGAGATGCCTACACTCTAGATATCTATGTATGTGAAAACCTAATTTTTAAATCATAAATGATTTATTTAACTGTGTAGCATGTTAATAAAAATGTAAAATACAAATTAATGATTTTACCTTTGGACCTTGTCTTCCTGGATAGCCTGGTAATCCTGGAACTCCAAGTTTCCCCTAAAATTATACATAAAAAAATAAGATTAAAAACAGACTGTCTATGCAGAATTGCTTCAATGACAATTCTAACCAGTCTTCTAGATATTAGACAAGCTGTTTGTATACTTGGAAACAAAGCAAGTGTTCCTGTTAATTTATTTCTAATCTTTTACTGCTGCCTAATAACTTTTGTAGTACAAATAGTAGTTTCTTGCTTGGAGACACTGTACCCAAGGTGAAGAGATTTCCCACCCCCCTGTAAACTGTAAAGCATAACCAATGAAAAGGAGTTTTCTAATTCAACATGATTTCAAGTTAACATAGCTGGGAATACATTTAGACCTTATCACTGCAACTAAAGGAAATCTTTGTAGCCTTTGTATTTCATTTATCATGTCTAACTATAAATGAAGTGGTTGGGTTACATAACTATCATCAAAAATCGAAGTAAATGATAAGGATATTCAAAATTAAAATTTTGAAATATTCATTTATTGAAATATTGGGTAGTGGGTTAATAGATTGGGCTAATGAATTTAGGATGCATTGAGAACTACAGCAAACAATGATAATTTATGTGGAGTGTTACTGAACATGGAGTGTACTTGAGTGTAACTATTCTGAGTTCAATGAAATTAACCCTCAATCTGGAATGCTAAAACAAATAAATGGTAATCAATTCTAGAGATGTATACCTAATCCTGAGATTTAAGAAGTTATTCTAACAAATTATTCTTCTGAATTTTTTCACCTTATTAAAAAAATTTACATGCCAAAGAACTAATAGTAACCAATTACTGCAGGAAGAGGGACAGTCAATATTCTTTAAGGGAGCATTTCTACATAGATTAACTAGAGTCCAGTGGATGAACATGCACTGAGGGACAGCTGCGTACAGATGCTTGACTGGATAGGTCTTAACATATATGACAGAATGTGTGAAATCTATTATGTGTGGGGGTTATGGAGGGTGTGGATGAGGGGTCTAAATTTGAGTAAGTTCCAGTATAAGAAATACTCAAAAGCTCGATGAAATATACATTAAATATAGTCACATGTAAAGGATTGGTGCTACAATCCACAAATGAGGGATAAAATACGCTGCTTGTTTTTCTGCATTTGTGTTATTTCACTTATTATAAGACTCTCTAGTTCCATCCATTTACCTGTAAATTTCATAATTTCATCTTTTCTTACTGCTGGCTCGATTAAACAAGAGCCCAAAGGGGATGTGAGAAATAAGTGGCAGGCCAGTCTCAACCACTCTTTGAGACTGGTTGCTGATGAATGAGGGGGAGTATGACTTACACACGACCACTGGATGGACTGAGTAGACCCCAGTGGATGCATTTATAACTGAAGGACATTTGGGTACAAACACCTCAATGACTAGGACTCAGCATGTATGATAGGCAGAGTGCATAGGGTTCAGTGCAGGGATGGGGGAGGCATGGATCGGGGAGGGGGTCTGGATATATATATATATACATATATATATATATGGTACATGTAAGGAATCAAATATACGACCTGAATAAAATGTTTCTGTGATGCTGTGTCATTTTCACAATAAAAACATAAATAACAAACATAAATTTTATCAAGAAGTCATAAAAATTAGCGCAAATTAAGTATCACTATTTACAATGTGCATTTACAAAATAAAAGTAAAGTCAAGTCTGAATTAGTATGTGTGATGTTGAAAACTAAATAGAACTTTATTAACAAAAACAAAAATTTTACTGGATGAGGGCCACAAATGAAGAACATAGTCGATGACCTTGTTACTCTGGATGGAAAGAAAGGCTTGTAGGAGTTGTGATTAACACTGCACAGATAGGTAAACCTCATGAGTAAAATATGCAAACAAGCAGGAAGAAGCACACTTGGAATGAGGTCCCATTGGATACATTGTTACTATGGCTTGTTTTATGCCCTTGACTTCAAGGTTAATGAAATTCTGTAATCATGATCAGAAAGCTATCCCTTCTCTATGTAAATTACTCTACCTGGTATATACTCTTAAACCTTGATAATGAAATGTTAAATATGAAGAAGTATGGGGCCAAAGAAAGTGCTAGTTCTTTAGAATAGTTTCTGGGATCACTGCTCATAGTGGAGCAGAGAAAAGGCATCAGATAACTCCAAACTACGGAAAATAAGTGCTAACTAAAGAGTCTAAAGGCCTTAAAGCCAGGAACTGGAGAGATGACTCGGTGGTTAAGAGCACTGGCTTCTCTTGCAGAGGACTTGGGTTCTGTTCCCAACACCCACACAGTGACTAACAACCATCCGTAAACTCCAGTTCCAGGGAATCTCACCACCATCTTCTGACCTTCAGAGCCACTGCACAACACACGTGCACTTATATGCAAGCAGACAATACACTCATACACATAAAACAATAAAATGAGAAACTAAAAATCAATTCTTAAAGCCTTTTTTTTCTAAGACCCCTTCCTTCTACCATCTAAATACTACATCAAAGGCAATGTAGTACAAGATGTGAACCCATGGAAGAACTGTTAAATCAGATGAATCCTGATGGGGCAAAGACTTTTACTTATCTCATCACAATGTCTCAATAATACTTATATATTTCCTTCTGTGATAAGATATTCTGCAGGTGGAAATCCTACAATTATATGAAATATGAAGGATTTTTATTTTTACATAACCATAGTATTCTGGCTAGAGAAAAAGTATTTATATAAGGAAGATTGATCAAGAGTTATATAACCAGGCTATAACTGTTATTTTTACTTTGATGAATTAAGTTCATATGAATGAAGATAAAGTTCAGTTGGTAAAGCACATACGTAGCATGTTTATGGCCTTAAAATTCAATCCCTAGTACTCACCCAAATAATAATAATTAAAGTTCATAATATATTTAAAACTTTGTTATATAATAAAACAGTACAGGAGGCAAAAGGTTTAAGGTTGTCTACTACTGGGTTTAAAGGTAAATATAATAGTTACAAATAATTTGACAAAACACATAATGTCTCTCAAACCAATGAATATTATAGTTAACTGGAAATGCTTGTTTCAATACTAGATTAAGATGAAAGTCTCTTGAAGAATGGCCTGAACATATCTACTTCATAAAATACTCTGTGGCACATCTATGTACAAAAAATGAAAACATTCATTTTGGTTTGAGGGACAAATATGATTCTTCTTGGTCTGATTCAGCAAGTATACCATGTCCATTGCTTCTTAAAACCTTCAGTCACTTATTTCAGCATCTAATGTGAGTGTGCCTTAAAACCATCTCTTCTTGATTAACAGAGAAAAGCAGAGGGACTAGAAATACACATGGGGAAGAAATGACAAAGTTCCCATGTCATGAGCATCCCCCTTTACTATAGGGATATGCTGCACAGTGAATAAAGTCCTCTGACTTTCTGGCATTGGTAATGAAAAGTGTTTAAAAACAACAGGAAAGAACTCTGCAAAAGAGGACAGTTCACAAACCTTCTCTCCTGCTTGGCCAGAAGGACCTGGGTCTCCAGTTGGGCCTGCACGACCTTTGGGACCTTCAGGACCATCTTCTCCTCTTGGACCAATTTGACCCACTTCTCCCTGAAACACAAAATAACAGCATTTATTTTTGCTGAAAACATATCTATAGAGTTGTAGGTACAGTTTCTAAGCAATCTGACATGCAGATACTTCAGTTGGTTGACGTACGTTGTTTATTGCTTGCTTGCTTATGAGAAAGGGGTTTAGAATGTTTGACTTTATCAACTGAATACAGTCTAACATGTACAAAGTTATAGGAGCCTGATCACACGATTTACTATTAAACTGCTTTAAATCTATTTATTATGATGGAAGGAAGAGAGAAACGAGAAAGAGAGAGAGAGAGAGAGAGAGAGAGAGAGAGAGAGAAGAGAAAGAGAAATGACAAAGATTAGAAAGAAACTAGAAACTATCTTTCAGAGCACAAAATGGCTTTATGTTAGACTTATCTTTTATCTTATATTAGGACTAGATGGGAACCATGCTGTCTCTCCTCCCAGATACAGCCTCTGTTTGGACTTCATGGGAACACAACTATTCTGAGTTATACTTCTTTGCTCAACATGTTAAAGATTCTTATAATGACAAAGATTAGAAAGAAACTAGAAACTATCTTTCAGAGCACAAAATGGCTTTATGTTAGACTTATCTTTTATCTTATATTAGGACTAGATGGGAACCATGCTGTCTCTCCTCCCAGATACAGCCTCTGTTTGGACTTCATGGGAACACAACTATTCTGAGTTATACTTCTTTGCTCAACATGTTAAAGATTCTTATATAATCTATAAAAGAAATCTTCTCAAAAAACTGCTTAATTTGTTTTAAATGACTCATAATATTTTATAATACACTATTAAAAAATAAAAACACACTAAGCTTAGACCTTGGAATTCAAGAGATTCATAACATTAAAATGCATGAAAGCAAATTGTAGAGATGGATCAGAGGTTAAGAATACTGGCTGTTCCTGCAGAGGATCCTGGTTCTATTCCTAGTACCCGTATGGCAGCTAACAACCCTTTTTAACTTCAGTTCCAGTGGATCCGACACTGCCTTCTGACCTCTGTGGGCATTGCAGGACACTGGTGCACTCACATACATGCAGGCAACACACTCATACACATAAAATAAAGATAATAAATGAAATAGTAAAACAATAAAATGCATGAAAACTCAAATATAAATTTCAATCAGCATAGTTTGCAGTAAATGAACAAAATTTAGAACGAACTTATCAGACTATTTCCTACAAGTAGTTTATATTATTCTGAAATTTCCATAAAATATAGTATTTAGTAGGATACAGATGTTGTTGAAATTGTATCTTAATAAACTCATTGTATGTGAAAAGTATCACAAAAGAAAAATGCATTTAATATGGCTAAATGGCAGAGTGCTTGCCTTGCCTGGTCAAATCCTTGAGTTCCATCTCCAATGCCACCAAAAACAAGTACGTTTAGTATACTAATCCTACTGAAATCTATAGTCAAGCTTAGCTTACCATAAGAGTGTCAATGATATTTTTATTAATCTATAGTTGGGTAGAAGTATCTAGCACCTAACACAAGTCCTATTTTATGATAAAGTGCTGAATATCCTGTGTAATTTATTTTATGCTGTGCTGATAATGAAACAGAAAAATGTGGGTACACTATCAGAGTTTGAAAATCTTAAAGCTATAAAAAACGTAGGGTTGGCAAAATGTCTCAGCAGGTAAAAGGGAACTGCTGCCAAGCCTATTGACCTGAGTTTGATCCATGCAAACTATATGGTGGAAGAAAAGAACTGACTCTTGCAAGTTGTCCTTTGGTCTCTGCGAGCACATTGCGGCATATGGATATGCCTAATTAATTAATTAATTAAAATCAAGGGAAATCTTTGAATATAAAGTAAATTCAAACAGTTCCAAACTTAGTGTGCTTCAACATATGTTCTTGATTGTAATGCAAAGTGAAGTGTCATAATTTAGCAGAAACCGTATTTTACAGTTTGAATTGTTGTCTTTCCTCAACTTAGCAATATATGGTATAAGAATCTCTCACAATGCTGAATGGTGACAGAGAGCCCTGCTCACAGTTTACCGCATGATCACAGAGTAACCCACCACATCCCTACACTGTAGTATTTCACTAAGCTATGATTTTTGGAGGTTAGATGCATTCAGTTCATTTTCAATTCAGTACATGCTTTTAACACAATGGGGTTTACTTGAGATGTAACACAATAGATTTATCTGCACACATACATGTGTGTATGTGTGTCCTGTAAAATTTTAACATAACAGCTAGAAAAATACTGATACTATACTATGTATAGAAAAATTATGTGTCTAATCTTTGCATAACAGTTGAAGTGAGAAGTCTTAGATAATACATTTTATTTAAACTTTTCTTGTCATATTTAAAGATAAAAATATATATGCAGTATATATTAGTGCAAATTTTCTTTTTACTTACTCTGTCACCTTTAAGGCCCATGTCACCTTTGAATCCTGGGAAACCATCTTCACCCTAAAAAATAATAGAGACAAACAGTAGTATAATTAGTCAGAAGACTTTAAAACTTAACTATGTAAACTTAATGAAAATTAGAAGAGAATGTCCTGAGAAATAAAAATCCTAGTCAGGGAACCATGTTCTCTCCTACCATTCTTCCCCAATGATTGGTTATAGATTAAATAACTTAATATACCCATTGCATATTTTCTATATCAGAGAAAACAATTTTTCATTTTATAAGAATATTTACCTTTTACTGTTCAGGTAAAATAGTAAATATTTAAGTAGCTACCATTAAAACAAATTTAAAAATTTACAAGCCAAAAATGTCTTTATCCTAAAATCACAAATTTATGCATAAGAATCTTCCTTATTTTATAGAATTTGCATTAGGTAAATGCTTAATTGTCAGTAACACCTCTTTTACATTGCAAAATTATTTTTGAAGGTTTAGATATCTGGAGTTGTAATGAACTGGTAAAAAAAAATCTAAATATGTTCTTCAGGAAAAGGCAGTTAAGCTCTAAAAGCCTTGTAAAAGATTCCATAGCAATGCACACTCTAAGGCACCTACTTTCATAAACTTCTGCCTGGTTTTAATATTGTTTCCATTTACTAACATTTTTGCCTTCATATAGCAGCCCATAGGAAGACTTCTTTTTCCTAGCTGACAAAGAAACTTCTTACATTATGTATTCTATTACATTTAAATTCATTAGTTTGGAGAATTCTAGGAGAAACACGGTCTGTAGTAGAAACTTTCTAGAAGAATGGACATTTTAATGTGTATAACTAGAAATTGTCCTAGTACTATAAATATCCCATTCAGAAGGGCAAGCCTATGATTTAAACAAGTTAAACACAAGTAATTAGAAAGGGATTCAGGGATAACTCCTGACCTTCTGTATCTGTTCTATAATTTAGCTCTCAGCCTGGGATATAAAACATTGTTTTTTAAGGTTTCCATACAAACTTGCAATGTCTGGTTGGTAAGTAATCACAAAATATATTTCAGAAAGAAAATACATATTGAACAAATTTTAATTTTATATGCTGGATGCATATAACAAAGTCACCTAAAAATCATATTTTACCTTTTCACCTTTAGATCCCTTGAGACCTCTGACACCATCTGCTCCCTGTGGAACAAATTAGAAATATTTAATGACAAAAAATTACCTTTAAATTAAATAATGTGAAATTAATTTAATTTTTACCTTTACTCCTCGGGGACCAGGGTAGCCAACAGGACCCTGTGGACCAGGAGGACCCTGGAAAAGATTCATTGCATTATATATATATATATATATATATATAGTATGTCAACAGGGCTACTCCTTCACATTCTATAATCTTCTTAAGGGCCTTTAATTCCAGCACTCAGGAGGCAGAGGCAGGCAGTTCTCTGTGAGTTCAAGGCCAGCCTGGTCTACATAGTGAGTAACAAAAAAAACCACACTATTTTGTACTATTAATATTTGGAAAATTTTTCCCAGGTAGAGTCAGATATACTAAACTAGTATGTTATATTGCACACTCTCAACTTATTATACTATATCTGATGTTAAGAAAAAGATACCGCTGGTGATTTGAATGGAGATTAAGTGTACACCCAAAAGCACCACGAGCTAGGCACTTAGCCTCCATATAGAAACGTTGAGAATAGTGGAAAATGAAGTGGCAAGAAATTGTGCGATTCATGTAGCTCTGCCCTGAGAAGAGATTAGTATAATTTCCTTTAAACACTGGTCACTTCCTTTGAGATGGGGTTGCTATAAACGAGCACACCTGTTCCTCAGTTGTCTCTGGCTTCCCAAGTCATTACTTAATCTCTTCCTATTGCACATGTTCATTATTTCAACCTTCATCTTGAAACCCTCTTGAAAAGACAGACTAATGGGATTACAGTAGTAATCCCTAGAACTGTGAGCTAAATACAAGCTTCTTTATATTATACAAGCACTTTGTTATATAAAAGTAGAAAACAGACCAATAACTAAATTGAGCAATAAGATAAATATATATATGCAAAATAATGTAAATAGTTAGATAACTGGTTTTTACTTGAAGTTATTCACTGTACTCAGTGTCTACAATAGACAATTATAGATTATCCAATAATAAATAATTCTAATGAAAAATTTATGTCAGTTTATAGTATTCCCATCAAGTATGTGATGCTATTTATACATTCCCCAGAGGTGGCTTTTCCCCAGTATAGCTAAAGGAAACATTATATAAAATATAACAATATTTCTGCATCAGTGTTAAGAACGTTGATGCTACTCAGACAATTCACACAAGGACTCTAAGCAGATTTGTCCCTACCCCTACAACTATAATCGAAAGGGTACTAATTACTTTAATAATAATAACTTTATTTGGTATCTAATTTAACTAGTTTGATATTCATTGCTTTTAAAATCTAATGTTCTCTTAGAGAAAGGTTGCAGAAAGTATCATGTAAACATAAAATTTGGGTTACAATAAATAATGTAATGATATTCAGTAATTCTTGGCAACTTACATCATTATATTTATGAACATTTGTTGAACATGTACACTAATGTGTTTAATGAAGATCCATTACTGACCATGAAAATTCTTTAAACAAAACACATATTACAATCTATTTTCAAAATTTACTAACATAAAATTAAAATTAGATATTCAAGACATAATTTGTTTGTTATACCCCAAATATGATTTTTACTTAGATACTTTTAACTTACCAGAGCACCCTTTTCTCCAGATTGTCCTTCTTTTCCAGGGTGACCCTTTATTTAGCAAAAATATACATTAGTAAGATGCAATAATCTTGTTAAATTCTTCATTTTTTTCAAATCTGTTGTGATCTTGTAGTTTAATGTTCAAAAATATTGAAACTCTTTTAGCAGTTTTATAGCTTTGAATAATATTGTAAATTTGACATTAAGAGAGCAACATAATATTATACTTTATGGGTGTATGTTTCATTAAATATGAAATTTTCTTGAGATAATTTGGAAAAAAGACATACTTCTATTAATAATTCAATCTTAAAATCTTACATATTTTCTTCATCTGACTTATCATTGCATATCAATAAAAGGATGATGTATCTTCAAAAGGTAACCAAATCATGTGAATAGTGAAATATAGAAAGATCATGAACACTAATAATAGAAAAATTAAATTATTGAGATTCCATAAATAAAAATGTATAATTATATTACAAGTATACTTAATAAATATAGGTAGAAACAGGAGGTAAAATCTCATATCCTGCATGTCACAAATCTAAGTAAGCAGCTTGGAGAGACAACATAAATAACAATTTAAAATGAAGTGCATATTTTGCATATGTAATCTTTCTATGTCAAAGGTAATAATAGGTATTTCTATATGTCCAGACAGGGAGTAACTCCCCAAAGGCTGAGGAATTTTCATGGAAATTATTTGATGAAACTGATAAATATCATGAATCTTCACCCAGATTCTTAGAGGCAAGTCAAACACAAGGATGCCTTCTATAAGGACAAATGGTCACTCGAAAGCTACACTCATTGATAACAAGAGCATGCTGAGAAAAATGTGAGGGGATGAGGGGAAAACGCGTATAAATAGGCAGTAGGGAGGTTTCAGCGGGTTCTGGTCTGCCACACAAAGATGAGTTATGTTCTCTAGATGCTTCTGTGAGCTCATTAAAAATTTCTCATTACAGAAGTGATGCAGTGAAATGGCATTGTGGAGAGAAAATGCTTAATTTTTCTATGCTCAATTCCCTTTTATTACTCACTACATGTAATCATTCCACAAACACATGTAAAATTTTGTTCATAAGATTCCATATGGAAGTGTTAATGACCAGAAGACTGTGACTTACGGGAGGCCCATCAGCACCAGGAAGGCCAGCAAGCCCTGGTTTTCCTTGTGGTCCCTAATCAAATAAAGGAGAATATTTTATTAAAATAAAAGAAAATCATGAAAAGCTCTACCATTGTGAATAGGAATGCACCACTAGTAACAGTCTCAAGACAATGGTTTGAGACAATAGAAAAAAATTCTACACAAAGACAAATGATAACTGAATTTAATAGATGTCAAAAATATGCTAGATTTAGTCTGCTTAGTAGTTCTATATGTTTCCTCATTTAAATTGACAGATTTGATTTTAAAGGTCACAATAAACTTGAGTTAACAGAATAAAAGGGCAACAATATAGGGCATATATTCATTCACTTACAACACGAAAAAATCAAGTACTGCATATTTCTATTAACAACAGAATATTAATATATACCATTTAATGCCATCATGTGCCACATTATAGCATTTTGTCCAATAGTGCATGAGATATCTTGGCCTCATAGCAATGAGATAGGTATAAAAATTCCTTGTACGTTGTGACGTCCCAGTCATCCAATGTCATTACCCAGTGTTTATATTGATGTTACACAAACATATTGTAGTACCAATTGTATAAATGCATTAGGCACACAATTATATATACTATATAATTCTTGATTATAGTAATAATTAATTACAGTAATGATTCATTTATTTGCTGTATGAGACGTTTTTGTTAGTCTAATCCTTCTTATCGAAAAATAAGTTTACTGTAAAACACTATGCCAGCAGTATCACACTCGTCTAACAGGTCACTGACCTATGTCATTTTAGTTTCGCATAAAGCCTAGTTATGATGGTCACACTAGATTGAAGCTGCCTAATAATAGGTTTCTTAGGCTGTATCCTGTCTTTAAAAACGTGATTGGAATTCCATAGTTCTAGTGATGAAATACCAGTGATTTAATTTTTATTAATTTATTTTTATTTGTGTATATGAGTGTTCTGCCTGCATGTCAGTGCACTTGTGTCGTGAAATGCCTGCGGAAGGGCACTGGGTCCCATGCAAATGGAGTTACCAATAGTTAGCTACCATGTGAGTGCTGGAAACCAAAGCCAGGTCCCCTGCAAGAACAGGAGTTCTCTTAACTGCTGAGTCATCTCTCCAGCTTGAAAATTACAATGATTTTTAAACTGTTCTATTAAATGTAAGTTACTTTGTGATAGTTGTTCACAGGATCTAAAGAAACATCTTTTTTGATGTAAAAAGTAGATGAAGTAATAAGCAACTAACGAAAGTTAAAGAATTAACTACTTAGTGGGTAACTCTAATCTTTTCTTAACCACAAAGAGCTCCTAATTTAATTTAATCTGATCTTTGCTAAATTTAGAATATGGCAAGATTATAATTGTAAGCAATACATCCATTCTTGGCAGAAACTTGGACATTGTGTTGGAAATATTGAATCTATCAGGCACTAGACATTATGGCTCACAGTTTAATTTAGTATCCAGGACTTCGAAATAGGTGAAAGAGCAAATATTATCAGCAAAGATAAATCTTCAACAAATTTACAGTGTTTCTTTTCCGGTTCACAAAGAGCACTTAGCCTGTGCCCTGTATTAGTGTTGATTGACAACACAGATTTTGACAAGAAAGCACCAACTAAACCAATATGAACGAAAAAGCAGAAAAAGTACCTTTAAGCAAGAAAATTAGATTGTGTACCCTAAATTCACTGCACGTCTTCAGGACTTGAAAATTTCAAATCTTCCAGAATCTGCTGCAATGCTGCCTGATGCAGTTATTATCATAAAACACTACGTAGTTAATTGCAATATTTTGCCTGTCACTTAGATTAACGTTTATGTTCAAGATACTAGTCTGTTTCCTCAAAACATAGTCTAGTGCACTAATCTGCTCATTATTTTTGCCAGCAGATGGGGCATTTCTGGGAAAATGATTGAGCAATGCTGAATAGGTCTATTCTGTTGATATATATTTAAGAATCAGCAAGAAATATTAAAATTACGCTACAATAAGATGATTTTCTTAATCAGATTGAACTCAATCCATCTTTTTTGAATGGAAGTTCCATGACAACAGCTTGTTTTATCTGTTCTCTGTGCTTTCCCTAGAGAAGTAGGAGTAGAGACGAATCGATGTCATATATTTCAGATTTTAATAAAAGACTTAAAATTTGTGGAGTGTTTCTATGCGCTATGTTAAGCAATTTATATGCATTATTCAATTTGTCTCAGCAAATCCCAGGAAACGTGATCATCTGTTAATATGTGACAAAGTCACAGTCTGAGTGAATCTAGACGCAGCTCTGTGTCTTTAAAGTTCCTGCCTTTAATACACATTTACTTTGTTTCTTGGTATGTCACACTGAGCTCCTAGTCCTCTGTCATTTGTTTTCTGTAAAGCAATTAACGTATAAGTACTATGAGCCCTAAATTCAGAAATTAAATGACAAGAAATACTCTATTCATCAAAAATGGCAGAGTAAATAATGGAGCTGCCATATTTATTTTTAATCACCAACAACTTTATGCAATACTTCATTATAAATACAATAAAAATAAGTTATGATAGTTTTGAAAAATACATAAAAGTTCTTAGAGATTAAAAATACCTACCATCTATTAAATCACATTTGAATGCTACATTATACAATGAAAATGTTACAATTCATCAAGTTTAAAGAAACAGCTTTTTTTTTAACCAGAATAACTATTGCTAGACTATCATAAGAAGGGGAACAAAAAATGATATTCCTTGATCAACATTGTGATACTAAATACATAGCATAGATGTGATATTGATATTACTGTGTTTGAGCTTTTATCTATTTGAAAAGAAAAGTCTGCCTTTGAATTTACAAGTGGGTCTCCTTAGAGGAGAGTAGCAGCGTACATGGTCTCAACACAAAAGGTACAATGAGCCAAATCCTCTATTTTACTTTTGGCTCAGCGAAAGGAATTCAAATATGCCAATATTCCCCAGGAGAAAATTCCTCTTAATAGTTCAAGGAATACATAATAAAATCATGGTATAAATTTTAATGGGTTCATATTTCAAATGCAATTTATAATAAATGTAGGTGTTTTATGAAGTTCTAAATAAAAGAGTAGTCAAATTTTAAATCATTGATTTAAAGTAAGATTTAAGGAGGACAGTGTCACCAGGTGTTACAGTGCTTACCTAAATTAAGGGTTTAAAATATATTTAGGAACCTAATGTCTTCAATTCATAGGACGTTTCACCAACAGCACTGTGCTGTCAATATATAGAAATCATCCACAGAAAGAAAAAAAACTTCTATAATCCCTTCCAGAGGGAAATTAAGGAAATGGTCAATAACCAAGCAAAAAAGATGCCTAATATCGCTAGCCATTTGGGAAGTACTAAGTAAAACCACAATGAAATACCTTTCTCATCAAGGGGAATGACCAAACATGAGAAGGGAGACAAGGATTAATGAGGTTTTGAAAAATCTAGTATTTCTGTGCCTTGCTGGTGGAAACAAAAATAAATAGTTCAACCACTTAAGTGTTTGGAAGCTTCTAAAATTATAATGCATATGTTTACCATATGGCCTAGGACTTCTAGATGTTTATCAAAAAGAAATAAGTAAATAACATCTATGCAAACTCTTGCGTACAAATATTCATAGCATGTTATTTTATGCATACCAGCTGAAAAGAACTATCAATGATAAATAAGCAAACAGTACTCTGAATACAATGCTATTTGTAATAAAAAAAGTCAAATTTGGGATATATGCTGCAACACAGGTAAACCTCAGAACATAAAAAACAAAAGACTACCATAAAGGTCCTATGATAAAATTCATGCTAAAATTAGCATAGTTCATTCATATGAAATATTCATAAAAATCAAATCTGCTGATAGAGAGCAAATTTGTTGTTGATTAATACAGTGTGGTAGAAACAGGGACTACTAATTGACCTGGAGATTCTGTATAGGATGGTAAAAATATTCTAAAAATTAGATGGTGGTACAGCTGTGTAATTTACAATAAATCATAAACTCATGTTAATTTACACAAGTACATTTTGTGGTAGATGAATTATACATCTATAAAAGTATTGGATTTTCTCAAAGAAATTTGGATGTTCATTAAGATTCACAAAAATTAGGAAAAAATATTGCAAAGACCCGGTTAGCAACTGTGCTGTAGCCAAGGTGGACAGAAAAGGCTGCTTGGGGAATCTAGGTAAGGAAACTGAGGAAAAGTTCTCTCTTTAACTCTCATTCTTATTATGATACAGACTTTGAATTAGTAATGAGAATATTACTTATCATGTATATATAAGAAATGGGTCAAAGGAAAGTTCACAATTTCCCCTTAATCAAATCTTGAAACAAATCATTGTTGTAAGCAAATCTAAATACAATTTTTAAAAAAATGAGAAAGGAAAGTTGAACAAAAATGAAGAGAAAACAGTGTTTCATACTAGTAAGCTTCCCTAAATGGTAATTCTACAGTGTTTTCCATTTGAAGTTGGAAAAAAATTGGTTAAATTTTATCCATGCAGTGCTAACCAGTTCAACTTGAAATTATTAGATTATTTTTTGTAAGTCATGTACAGAAATATCTTAACAAAAATAGAGAGCAGGCCTTAAACCTGATGCGGGTTGCAAACAGAAACTTGTTTACCAGGGATTACTAGATTAACAGAGCAACTTACTTTTTCACCAGGAGGACCAATTGGACCTTGAGGACCGGGAAGACCCTAATTTAAAAAAATTCATTTCATGTCAGTAATTACATCACAAGTGTTTACAATAGAAAATAACTAACTCTCCTGCACATGAAATGAGTCGTGAGATTCCCCCCTCTCTCTGTCTCTCTATGACTCTTTTTTACTTCTAAGAGTTTTGGAACACCATGAAGAATTTTACACAAGCTTCTCTCTAAAGAACCTGTAATATGATTCTATTCAGAACCCTCCTGCAGGTATGGCTATTCACCAAAGCATTCTGTGAATACTGAATACGTCATTTTTCTCTAGAAAAGAGCATCTGCATATTTGTACAAATGCAAAAAAAGAAAAGGAAAAGGGAAATGCATTTCTACATTCACATTTTAAACATCTTTGGCCCTCCACATAATATTCTGAAGCCATTTACCAAAAGGAGACATAGTGGCTTAGACTTACTTCAGGTCCTGGATTCCCTTGTTGACCTGGAGGTCCAGGCTCCCCTTGGGGACCCTATTATAGGAACAAAAAGTACTTAGTAGGGCTTTCCTCAAAATATATTTTTCTAATTAATTTAAAAATAATCTTCAAATCAATTTCCCTCTAGAGTCTGAAAAATATTTTTAAAAACATCAATGTTAGCAGTACCTAATATATTTAGCAATGTTTTATAAGACTTATTTTCAATGTAATGAGTTTATCATGTGAACTACATACCATGTTTCCTTTAGGTCCTGGGGGGCCATCTATCCCTGCAATACCCTTTAAGGGGAAAAATATATATGCTTGCTTAAAATTTTAGATGTAAAAACAGAAAATAAAAAAGAATCCTCTGATAACATGCCACTTACTAGCCTAGGGTTATTAAAAATACTTTGAGGATTAAATAAGAATGATGATTTAGGATTTAATCAAAATCATAGAAGGGATACACTCTCAGACCATGGTTTCCACACTAGAGATAATAATATTCCTCCATGTGCTGGGGATTTATCTTTAAAACTTGCAAGACAATCTAAAAAGAAGGAAATGACAGGAATGGAGACAGCGGTCAGTGACCTGACATGCAGCACCCTTAGAATTTAGAATATAGGAAGACTGTTAACCTGATTCTCTGCTGAGTTATTTATGAACCTCCTTGGAAATTTACGACAATAAGCATCCCCTAGAAAACCCAGAATGTTCCTAGCAATACATACAGGCTGCCCTGGAGGTCCTGGAGTTCCCCGTGGTCCTAGCAAGCCTCGAGGTCCCTAGGAAAACCAAAAGAAAAGGAGCACGCTCTCAAAAGAAATGCCTTCAAAATGGACTTCCTTCACTGAAAAAAAATTCTATCATAATATTTCAATTAAAATAGGTACACATCTCCAGGCATACTGAACACAATATTAGATAACAGTTTTTAGTGTCAAAGATATCTCAGACTCAATGCATTTACATATGTATCACTTAGAAACTAAAGAAATAGACTTCTTTAACCATTTGAATGATGCACTTTTGTTCCATGCTCTGATTTGAATAGCACACTGGATCTTATTACGAAATCACACTGATTGAACAAGTAGAATAGCCCAGATGTTCATGCATTTTCCTTTTAGATGAATTCCAATGTGGAAGAGTGTCATCTAAGAACAGTTGGATATCTATCTATGCAGATTGTAGACACTGTTTTCTTGATAGAAGATTCTAAATTATTAACACTTGAATGGGAGCTCTTTCTCTACTCTCCTTAACTTCATCTCCTTTTTTCCTGTTATAAATTCCCATATAAAATTGGTTGTTATCTCCTATTTTCCTGACCATAGCTATTTTGGCAGGCTTTATTATGGGACAAATGAAGACTGAAATTAGGTAAGTTTTTTTCAGTCTGGTCCTTTTCTTTAGCAAGTTTTGAATAAACATCCCTAGTTGAGCTTCCTCATAATTAATATTTAGAGGAGGAAAAACTACCTAATCTTTATATCAAGTACACACTGTTTCAATCTTTTGTTTCTTCTGATAATAAGAATTTATTTAGTTTAAAAATCTAAAATTTTGTAGT